CTGTGGGGAGTTGGGGGGGGGGGGCGTCCATTAATTACGTCATCAAAATAAGGGGAAGGGGTTTGGAAATGTTTGACAGTTATTGACAAGGGGGAGGGAGGGGAGTTTAGATTTGTTTACGTCAACAATTATGCTATTTCTAAAAAAAAATATAATCTTAAAAATGACTGGTTCTTACATTATTTTAAACAATTTTAATGAGTGTAAATAGTCATATATGTTTATGCTTTTAACAATATAAGAGTTATTTAATGTGTGTCTGTCTGTGCTCCGCAGATGCTTGGTCAGAATGTTAGCACACTTTGTTAGTGCAAGAGAAGTCAAAAGTTGGCATCTCTTCACCTTTCATTTTTCTCTTAATCCGCTCCCTAGAATGATTAACACATACTTGTACACGGTGTTCATTAAAAAAACAACAACAACAACAACCAACTTATCGGTGTTCAATAGCAACTATACCAACGCAAAGATAGAGAGAGCTTATGGCAATTATTGGTCACACCGACAATAATTATATAATTTTAAGGGCTGAATGGTTAGATAAGGATGATGTTGACTTGTCTGGTATAGCAGTTCCGCAGGATGAAAATGCCAAATCAGCTACTATAGACTATGGCAATCAGGGGCGTCATTTCAGTTTTTTTCATGGGAAGCGAGGGGGGGCGAATTCCCCCCTCATCATCATCATCATTTCCCTTAGTCCTTGGACTTTTGGTGTGTCACAGATGACATGTAAACTATCCTCCTCCATTCGAATTCCCCCCCCCCCCACCCCTGCTCTACCCAAATGATTTCACTGATGCCCGTTGTTATGCTTGAGCAACACCTGGCTACTCCATGGGAAGATAATATTAATAGGAGCTAGAAACTATGCTATCATTGTCAGCTATACTGACAATAATCATATTTATACTTCCACAAACAATGATATTTAGTCACTAAAAACTTTTTAATTGAGTCTGTATTATAAAATTTAAGTGTAAAAACAATATTCAACTTATTGATTAACAAGCTTTAACATGTAATAAAATGTATTCCTTACAATTTTTATGTGTCATTTAAATAGATCAGCACAAAGTGAAATGTATTTATAAATTTATTTATATTATAATTCATTTATTCATTCAATTATCTTTCATTTGAAACCTCATTTCGTCTTAAAAACCCAACAATACAATTTTAAATAGTTTTTTTTTTTTAAATCCCAACCTCTCACTTCTGGTACCCGGGTACGAATAGCCACTTGGAAATGAGTAGACACGTTGTCAACCTAACAACTTAGAGATTGGCTTGGGCGTAAAATTAAAGGAAGTTACCATTATATAACATGAATTTAGTGAGACATTTAATTGGCCGATGCTGATAAAAATACGGGCGATAATATCCATATATTTACAAGACTAGAAGTTAAATGCACTTTTCTACTTCAAAATCGTTTTGAACGTTTTAATTATTATGAATTATTCATCCCAAGCAAATCTAGTACAGAGCTTTATTTATTTTTCATGGCTAACAATCTAGTTTTGGCTTCTTTTGTCAGACGTTCTGGCAAGGCCATGTTAGAATGAAAACAAACCGAAGAGTTTTACAGGACTTGTTATTTTTTTTGAATGATGTCGCATCTTACAGCTAGTTTTGTGATTATTGCTTTACACACCTTTCAATATGGGTATACAAAGCAATGCAAATTTATACCGCCATGTACGTGTTCAACAAGCGACTTTGATATCAATTTAGAGCCATTAATGCTGTTCCGAAAGGAGTAAGTTCTATTTAATTTATCAATAAAAAAAAAAAGTGTCGGTTCAGTGTCAGTCATGTGATGAGGTTGACTGGACTGTAGACGTAATTTATTGTTTACAGTTACAGTCATGTCTTTCAAATTATTTGTATTTATTTACTTATCATATTTATACTACCCCCATTTGCTTTTGTATATGTGGATATTTTTTTCTGTAATCCTTGTCATAATCCTTGTGCGCTGCACAGTTCACTGCCAAAATAGTAAATAAGTCCCAAGCCCAAATGCAAATTTTGAACAAAAAAGCTTTATTTTTATTTTTAGCCAGTTTTTAAAAAAACAATTTTAAAATTTTAGATAAAAACCTTTAATTGTACATTTTATGATTACACTGGTCAACAGAAATGTGCCTTAAGTGTTAGCCTTGTTTCTAACGGTATGAAAAAGAAAAAAAAGAAAAAAGTAAATGTTACTTAGTAGGCAGAATCATTTTAAGCAACATTGATGTGTTGCAACTGCTTGTCTTGTCCCATCCTTACATTTCAGCTCATATAAAAATTGACAAAAGGCTTTTGTAAAGGGAAGGGTGTAGACAAGAACAAAAGGCACAAATTTGCAAGGGTTTCTATTGCTTGAAGATAAGCCACTCAGTATTGATTCGAATGTTTGTCAGTTACAATAGCTCACTTTAAGACTGTTGTAGTGAACGGTGCTGAGATCCAATGCGCATCTTGTATCCGGGCCAGGGCCTTGCAAAGGAATGATAGGATACCTTTTTCAACCATATCTGAAAAACTAGAGCTAGGGCCACTAGGGGTTTTCAGATGCAGTGTCCCAAATACCCATAGGAACAAGCTTTAAATCCGAGGCACCAAGAAAAACATTTATTTGTGTTCATTTTTTTGTTGTCATTTGGCTGTCTTCTAGATCAGTGTTTCTGAAACTTTTGAGTTTGACCGACCCGTGGATAATTTCTCTCTTCAGCAGGGACAAGTTTATCTTTTTCTTTGACCCTAAGTATGTCATGAAATATTTTTTAATACGCAATCAGCCAATGCGAAAGGACTCAATAAATAATGATCAATTAATGCTGGCTGTTATAATATTTTTTCTCATGGTTGTTAAACTTTATATAACTTTTATCCAGGTCCTTGTCTCATGTTGCCCAGATCAGCAACATAAGGCTCGCGGAGGGTTTCCGGTCTGTGGACCACCAGTTTAGGAAAAACTGTTCTAGCATCTCTATCAACATTTTACATCTTTAAATTTTTCCTTAGCGCACCTTTCCAAGTCTCTACTGATCAAGGCTATACATATTATGTCCATCCTTGCAACAAGCCTGTTCAAGAGTCCTCATGTCGAAATTTAAGTCCCTTGGCAACTGTAAGTTAACTCTAGATTATATGTTAAAATGATATCACATACAAAGTCCAGGTAAAACAATATTTTATTAACCCTCTTGAGACGGAGATTTTTTTGTGTTATTTTTATTGTCTCTGTCAAGAAGACAGAGTGCTTTTCACAAGCCCTGCACTTGCTTTGCAAAAAAACTTTTAAAAAATACACTAATTACTTTGCAAATATAAAACTATATATATTCTTGTAGAGAAGTGATTGAACTAATGCGATCTTTATGAATCAAACTGAAGTCTCAAAATTTATGCAAATGAATAAACATGTCTTAATTGCAAAATTTTGTTGAATTTTCTGATTTTTGAAGCCTAAATAAATCAAAAAGAACATTTGAATGAGATTCAATTTGAAAAACTGCATAAAATATTCCACTGGAAGTGCTAATGCATCGTGCCATTTTACAAGGTAACATTTTTTAAGCATTTATAGAGGTCACTCTGTACCAAAAAAATCGCTATAAAATGACAGAACACTGTAAACTATCAATGGAAGCCGTCATTAGAAGGGTACTATGAGCAAGAAATCGGAGAAATAATCTGATTAGCTGGTACAAAGACCAGCCAGTCAATCTCGAGGCTTGTATTATTTGGCAGGTAGATTGTCATTTCTTTTTTGCAATTGACTCTTGTGCAGATAGATTGGCCCAGCCATCTCAAGAGGGTTAAAATTATATTTTGGACAAATTCATATTTCTTGCATGTTGAAAATAAGGGTCTTCAATAAAACAAAGGCTAGTCTAAATTAGAGTAAATAAATTCTTGGTTTGATGCATAGTTGACAAATTTTAATAGACACTCACCAAGTCTTCATCTTCATGGCTTACCTATCAAGATCTTCATGGCTCACCTATCAACATCTTCATAGCTGACCTATCTTCATTGCTTACCTATCAACATCTTTATAGATTATCTATCATCTTCATGGCTTACCTATTAACATCTTCATGACTTACCTATCAACATCTTCAGGGCTTACCTAGCAACATTTAAAATTTTAAGGTACTTATTAATCCTTTTTTTTTCTTATTAAATCTTATTTCCATTAAATAAAGGAGACTGGAGCAGTGCTGTCCAACCTTTTTGACTCCTTGGGGCTAAATTTTTTTTTCATGAAGCAGAGAGCTGCAAATGACATCTCAAAAGAAATTTTTATTTTTTACCTTTAGAAAATTATTCAATTTATTAATAGTTCTTACTTTATGCTTAAAGAATCCATTTGCAGTATCATCTCAATGAATAAAAACTGTAGCATATCTTTAATGCCATATTTGGCTTTGACTTGAACTTGCAATCTTAATTTGCGGCTGGTATTCATAAACTGCTGCCCTTATTAGGTTTACTAAATGTTTGTCAGTCAAAATATTTCGTTTTTTGTACTTGATGTTGGTCATTACACAGAATCCAGCTTGACAGGCGTTGGTGCTTCCAAACATCATCAGTATTTTTTTACATTTCGATAGTTGTGGAAATTCATCTGAAGAAACATAATGTCATCCAGATTTCAGTTGGCAACGCATTCTTATGTTTTTCACGAAGAGTCATGTTATGCTGAACCTTGTTGATTTCAAGCTCCACTGCACCTTCATCTGCTCTTAGTAATGTCATCTTTGTGGCTTCAATGGAGATATCACATATTAAGGCATTTTCAACAAAAATTAAATAGATTGAATCGCTCACTTGTGATCAGCTCTGGAAGTTGTTTTGCAGCCTTTGCAAGGGCTGGGAAGCGAGTAAAATTTGACTGATTGATTTGAGTAATAAATAAGTCCAGCTTAGATTTGAAAGCACTAGTTTCTTTTATCAGCATTGGTAACATTTGAAAATGCCCTTGCAATTTTGAATTTAATTTATTAAGGTGATAAGTGATACCAGTTAGAAATGCTAGCCTTACAATAAACTCAGGCATTTCCATTTAATTTAACAAATCACCCTTTGCTTTGGACCTGAGAAACAGTTTCACTTCTTCAATAAGATCCCAGAATCTTGCCAGCACTTTCCCTTTGCTCAGCCAACAAACGTCAATATGAAGAACAAAAATCCCCAAAATTTCCTCCCTATTCTTCTAACAAAGTCTTAAACTTAAATTGTCTGTTGTTTAAGGGATTAGCTTGAATGAAATTAACAATTTTTTTCTACACTATCCATAACATTTTGCATTGTATCATCTTTCATCTTTGAGCAAAGAGATTGCTGTTGAATTATACAGTAATACATTTGATCGTCTGGAAAATCGCTTTTAAATCATTAAGCAACTGCTTAAATATATCACCAGACATACTTTCAACATGTCTTGTAACAGGCTGGTGAGAAAGCTGAAGATAAGATATTCGTTTATTTTTTAATTTCTTATTTGTTTTTAAATTCAGCGAATAATGAATTTGCACTTTTTTAAAAACAAAGTTTAACAGTTTTACCATCTGAATATGCTTTTTTTGCCTCTTAGCTAATATCCAGCTAATATTAAAAGATGCTCAAAATTAATGAAAAGCATTTCGCTCGGGGGGGGGGGTTGGAAGAGAAGAGGAGACTAATTGGGATTCTTGTGAAGTGCGTTACTTGATTGAATGTTATATAAAATTTTCAGCCCCACCCCTCAATGATCCATTATAACATTTTATAAAGGATTTATAGGAAATTTGTTTTTAGAGGTTGTTAACTATAACCGAAATAGAAGTCTGGCATATCAAACACACTGGCTTTTCATTAAATAAAACAAAAATTCCAGTTCTCATGAAGTGTTAAAAGTATGGTTCTGTTCTGTAAATTTCCATTTTTTACTTGCCAGTTTGGCTTTATCTTTTTAGAAATAAAAAGTCTTTCTAGTATCGTTTGTACTGTCTCAAAATTTCTCCCTGAATGAATGGCACTAACTAAAATACAGCTTTTGTCCTGGTTTCTACTCCTGGAATTGATCATACATTGAATACCACATACTAGTCTGATTTTTATCTAAAAAATACAGGATGGACATACTGCACCCACCTGGACAGACAACCTATTTCATTTTAACTGGTTCATTCTCCCCTCCAATCATTTCCACACCTTTAGTGACCCAGATCTCACTTTATTAACTCCTGTCTTATCATTGTCATCCTATAAAGCCCAGTACTTTTCAGTGGGTCAAAGCAGCAGAGAGGAGAAGAATTAAAATCCGATTTTTATGTCGCCCAATGTTCCCACATTTTTGATCTGCTGAGGGGCTAAACATAAATTACTGCTATCTGAAAAGTATTCTTCTCTTTTTGCTACACCCCTTCTTATTTGGAATGCCACCATCTCTGTGCTCTCATGTGATTTCCTAACAATACTGAATCATTGAATGTCCTTTGATTTTTTTCCTTCTAAATCTAAATTTAATTTTTTTTACATAAATGGTACAAATGTCTTAAGTTCTGGCGGGCCATTTAAAATCAGTCCATGCACTGTGGGTTGGACAGCACTGGATTAGAGTTAAAACGCAAAAACGTCTTACTCAAAAATAAAGTGTATCAAACCTAAAGACGATTTTGTAATATGAGTTGCCATTTTTTAAACACATTTTTCTCACATTTCAGGCATGTCAGGTTCTGCCTTTGCCTTCTGATGGACCATTTGGGTTGGGACAAATAAATGGCAATGGAGTTTTTGGTGACCCAGCTGAGAATTCTGTTACTTTTAATAACTCATACAGTTACAATAGTGATACAAAACCAAGGTAAGCTAAGCTTACATACTTTCACAGATGTTTAATAAGATGGTAATTAAATATTTTCAATGTGTTCATATGTTCTTAGTGAAACTTGGGACAAATCAGAATGAAATGATAATAAGTATAGAACATATATATTGTAATTGTAGCCGAGTCTGCTAATTGTCTTCTCAATGGTCTGCTCCTCTGACAAGTTTCATTGTCTATGTCGGGTAATTTTTCCTGGCTGTGCGATGACTGAACACTGACATGGTATCCATGGGTGGCTGATCAAGAACACCAGACTCTGTCAGTTTTTTTATTATGGGGTTCTGATGGTCTAAATACAACTCACATAGTCTAGTCCCGCTAATCTCCTCAAAGGAAGGTTTTTGCCCAATAAGTTGTAGGGGCAGACATAAAAATCAGCCAGTAATTCTCATAATATCTTCTGGCCAGTTGTACTAGTAATTGTGTTCTAAAGCTGTGTTGTCAAAGAAATTTAATGCAGACACTGGCATCATTGAGTCCATGGTAATTTTTTTTTCTAATAACAGTGTGGAGAAAAATGTCCAATCCAAGGTAAGTGTGAAGTTGCAACCCTATGACAGTGGTGTGTTGATTTATGCAAAGAAGAGGCAGGAAACAGATTGTAAGCTTGTAACCTCTTCTGGCTATTTAAATTGGCCAATTATAAACTTTTTTTAACATTAATCCGTTGGTTTTAAAACTTGTTACCACACATTAAAATATCATTGCTAAAATTCTTTGAGACATCACTGAAGTATTTTTAAAACTTATAGCTGATTCAGTGAGTATATTCTTATAAGTAAATAGTTATTATTATTATTTGATGATGTAGGTGGATTATATTATAGGTGTCATCTTACCATGAATGACCCAATACTTTGAAGGCTAAAACCTACAACATGTTTTACAAAGATATTTTATCTTGCAACGCCTGTGATCCTTCTACAAAACTGGTTGAAACGCACTGTGTTAATAAAATGGCAAAAATTACATTTTGTCCATCACCCTCTTTCTCTTATGAGAAAGAAATAAAAATCTTATATAAAAAATTTCACTCCCAAGATGTAATAATAGTAATTATATTTTTGAATAAATAGCTTTTATTTTAAAAAAACGGAGCTATTATTGTAGCCCAATTTTTCTCTAATTTAATTGTATCTTTTTACCAGGGCAATAAATTTAAAAGTGATTTGCAGTTCAGAAGACAGTAGTTTTACATTTGAAAGTGAAACATCTCTTACATATGTAAGTTAACTAAGTCATTAACAAATTATCCTTTTTAAAAAAAACATTTAAGATAATTTTCTAATGCACAGGTTCCTAAAATGTTTATTCTGCTTCTTCTTCTATATATTAAGGGCCCACGATCGATTTATTGATCATTCTGGCTCCTATGCATGTAGAGGGGATTTGCAATGTTTCTGTGCCTGGTGTTGAAGAGGATATTTCACTGGTTGCAAGGGCTACTCAGCAAGGGTATAACTGGGGGTTGGAAGGCCTGAGCCAATAGATCCAAATGTGTCAAGTGTTGTTGCCTCAACTCTTCCTTTTGAAAGCTTGTTCCAGTCCCTGAATGTCTTTGGTAGGAATGAGCCATTCCTGTACTGGTTTCTTGCTGGTATGAGCCATAACTGTCTGTCATGGCCTCATCACTGTCTATGGGGGAGAGGGACGAGTTTCTGTTTAATGCTCCATAAGACCCCATGCACCAGGGATATTTATTTACTGAAGCCTTCAAACAATAGTGTGTTAGTATTAAAAAATGAGACATATTAGTGGAAGTTAAAAATCATTTTTCATTGAAAAAATTCTTTATTCAGATTAAATAATTTAAAATCCTTATTAAGGAATCTGTTTTATATTTTGAATTACAATTAAAGAATGTTCTAAAATTGTTTTTGATTATGACAGTTTTGACTAATCATACTAATTGGCCTTTCTCTGCTATGAAGCATACACTTTTATCTCTTTTAAGCGGTTGAAATTAGGGTGAAAAGCAATAAGTTTAAATTTATGCTTGTCAATAATAATTGGATTAATCTAACAAGCAATGTGTCCATGTTTTCTCATCAAGCTTTTAGTTTTGATGACTTATGTATAAGCAAACAAAATTGTCTAAACTTGAATTTAATCATTTATTTTATTCATACAGAGTTTTATGTTAAAGACACGTTTTGGATGTGCACCAGCCCCTGCCCCAAGTAGTGGAGGTGGCCTTAGTGTTGGATCTGTGCTGGTTATATTGTATGCTATCATTTGAATATATCACTGATTTTTAGTTTTTTTTATGCTCTATATAACTTAACAGTTATGTTAAACTAAAACAAATTTTCTGTTAATTAACACAAAAAAAAAGGCAATAACATTGAGTTAATTAGTTTTTGTTTTTTTTAATCCATCGAAGAATAACTCTGCATTTTGAAATTTTCTAGCATCAAACTAGTTTTATAAACAGTTCTGCAGGCCTAGTTTTCAGTCAATGTTTCCATGAGGCCCAAAAGAATATCATCTGGAAATATTCAGAAGTTGATATAAATGTTTGGAAATTAAGATTCTATGTGATATTTTGTATTCAAATGGGTTTTTAAAAACATTTAATCCCTTCATTAAATAATAATAAAGTTTATTAGAAAAACACGATACATCCCCAAAAGCTCGAAGCACAGTACAAAGTCAACTCACATTATAAAGAGAAATAAAAACAATCTAAAATTTACCACATTTAAAAAAACAGACGCAACAATATAAAACTACATACGAGCATACCAAGTCAAAGTCTTTCATCCCGTTTCAATCATAAGCAACACAGGCATTAAATTTTAATAACATCATTAAATATTTTTCTCTGTTCATGATGCAAATAATCAATTTCAGATTTTTTGTAATTCTCCTGATCTACCTGATTGGTGGCTTACTATTCCTCAAGTTTGTCCGCAAGGCTGAGGGCTCTGAGGTCATACCCAACATTGAGTTTTGGAAAGATTTTCCATCCCTTGTCAAGGTTTGCTTATTAAAATCTTTTTCAGTGAATAATTTGCATAAAGTGTCATGTCTAATAATGTGTATGTCCTTGTAATAAAGTTTTGTTGGAAAATGATAACCAAATTATATTTTTCTTAACAGGATGGTATCATGTTTACATTCCGAGGCTGTAAGGCAGACACCACCTATGAAAAAATCTGAAATCTAAGAGAAGGAACTGTAATTCACCCAATAAGATTGATCTTTGCATAAAATTTAAGTCAGAAACAATGACATAATAAAATAGTAAAGGACTAATAATGCACTAATCTCCCCTGCTATTGAAAAGGGTGAAATTTACTGAAAACTTATTCATCTTTTTTTAGTTTAACAATAAAAAATCAGTGAAAGTTTCCAGAAGTCACCAAAGCACTTCATGGCTCTTATTTGAAATGTTTGAGATGTTATCATTCTATAAATTATATTAAGCCCCTTTTCAAGAATTTAACTTGAGGAATAATAACCGATTCTTCAAGGATTTTTGTCATTAGTAGTGAAAAGATATTAGTTTTAAGGAACGTTCTTATTTAATTAACACATGGCAATACACTTGATGATTAATATACATTTTTGAATGGCACAAGACCGTAAGCTAAAACTATGCAATTAATTTAAATGGACTGTGTGAGCTTGATTTGTGATTGAATTGTTGATGTGAGAGAGTTGCTTGAAATCTGACCTTTACAAATTGGTTTATTGGTATAAACGTGTTGAAATGTATTGCATAGTCTCCTTGAAATGGTCTATGTATCAAGAGTATGAACTGCTGTTGCAAACTGAATTTATCACTCTTGTGTTGACCAGTCACATATAGAATAGCTTCTTCCACCGTCACAATCATATGTGATGAGCCTGGGACCTGGGCCTTTCCACCGGTTAACCCTTTGTGCAGCGGCTGCGTGTTATGTCTGTCTCAAGGGTGCCCCACGTAAATTTGGGCCACCTTTTATACCAATGTGCCAGAGATTATCCACAAGGCTGGATGTTCAGACTATATATATGGGACGTTCCTTTTCATCAAGCTATAATTTTAGCCATGCTATCCAGCACTTTTCCCAAACTTATTTAGGGCTACTGTCCCTTAGAAAGGCAATGGGAAGATTAGCAACATTGCCAATTTGCAACTTTGAGCAGCAACTACTAAACCCTAAGTTTTTAGGTGCTTGCTTTCATCATTTATAATGAAACAGTTGCTTAAAAAATATTCCAGTAGCTCAGAAATTTAACATACCCATATATGTGTCTTAATTGAGAGATTAAAATATGTTAGCTATTCATAGGCCTCGAAATAGATCAATCGACCACACCTGATTTTTGTTAATTCATTCTCATTTATACCGATTCTACTTTTATATCGGTTAACATTTTAAAGTACTTTTATCTCAACTGTGGTAAGCTGAAAGAGAAAGATAAAACATATTTACACTGAATTAAGTCCCCTATAGTTCATAATGCCTCATTCAGACTTGGGATAATATACTGAAATGGAAAAGGGAAGCAAATTTTAAAAATAATCAATTTGGTCTATTTCTTTTACATTTGTTTTATTTAAAAATTGATTTTATCTAGTTGTTTAGGAGCTTTATCTACTATGATAGAATGTGGTCATCCACAGTTGTTTGCATGATAGAATGTGGTCATCTACATTTGTTTGTATGATAGAATTTGGTCATCTACATTTGCTTGTATATTTGAAGGACGCCCTTTCTAGTGCAGTTGTTAGGAGTAAGAATATATATATATATGATCATTATTAATGGATTTTCATTGCTCATTTAATATGGACTATTAAGTAATAGCTATATATAAGGTTACAGAACACCAGTCTGTAATTACATTATATAATTACCATGGCACATCTTACAGTTTTCTCCATTTCACATTTCTTTTTATGTGACAGCAAATTAACATTGAATTTTGCTCTTTTCTAGATCAGATATTAAAATTATCATTTGCAATGTAGAATAAAGTTGACCAGCTCTTTCACTAAACTTAATTTTTTATTTTTTTTATAACTTATTTTATTATTTATAATGATCTTTGAACTTTTTCTTCCTTTGTTTGCACTGAAATATTGCACAAAATATCAGCTGTTGTATTTCTTGGTGCACACAAGAATTCATCTTTAATGTGTTTTTTTTCTACAAGACTTTCTTTTATTTAATGATATTATTAAGATCTTCTTTTTAATTATTTCCAACTAATTGAATTGACTCATGTTTTTAACAAGACCCCAGATGAGAATGACAAGTTTAAACGGTTTCTCTATTCAGTAATGTATGCTTGCCTACACTATGACTCGGTTCTGTTAGTGTAATTAGGACACGCCCCATTCCATTCTGTGAACATGACATATTACAATGTATTTGTGGCTACCCACAACAATTATCACTTAATATTGATGTATAAGTATGTTTAGGGAATAGACTGACACTTAAAATTTATGTATAAGTCTGTTTAGAGATTAGACTCAATTTAAATTTGTTTCATGATAAGATCATGGCAATGAAGCATATATTTTCTCAGCTCTTTAGTGTAGAAAATATATTTATATCAACAAATAAGTAAAAAATTGGAATCTTTGAAATAACTTTGCCACAGAATAAACAATTTTCTGGAGTTAATAAATTGTTTCCCTCATTGAGCAGAAATAAGCATGTTAAAAAATAGTATAAATATTCTATTTAAGGCTGATGTGAATATTTTGTTTTTTAACTGTATGATGGCTAAGCCCTTTTTTCCCCTTCATTTATACCATTTTTGAAATAATAACTATAATGTCAGATGACCAAATACATTTCCTTGTTTCATTGCTGGGAATATCATTGTAAACAATTTTAAAAGATTAAATTTATTCAGCAATCTGAATTTAGAGCTCTTATGATCCAGTAAATTTAGTGCATCATTTTAAAATTTAAAAACATTTCAGTGCACACCTGGTTAACTGTGGCAGCTGCATGTATTTTTTGTGTATGACTGTTTCCACACAAATATGGCAAGATTATTTAACTTAGGACAATTATAAAATACCAAAAATTCACTATATCTCAGTGTTTGCTTCTCATACAACAAATTCATTAATGCTGTGAACCAAACTTTTATTTTTAGTCTTGGAAATGTGTGTTATTTTTATTGAAGTTGAAGTTCTCAAAGAGGATCTGTTTTGTATGTTCTTGTACAAAGTTTTTTATAGATGACCTCCAACACCTTGATCCATGTTTTTGTTTTATCACATCAAGTCAGCTGCTTGCTGGGCTCTTGTGATTTAAAGATTAGCTGTGACATCAAGGTTTTATCAAATGTCTGGACAGACATCACAGGCTCATGTAAATGTTTGCTAACATACATTAAAACTGATGCTGTCTGGACAGACATCACAGGCACATTTAAATGTTTGCTAACATACATTAAAACTGATGCTGTCTGAACAGACATCAAAGGCACATGCATTCTTTGTAAGTCAAGCTTGTGTGTTTCTTTCATGGAGAACACTGTAGCTTGATTGATATTTTTTTAAAAACTTAACAAAGCAACCCACACACAACCATTTGGGAACATTGCACTAATTAATCAGTGCATCAGTGCTTGTATTGTCTTCTAACAAATTTTATGCCATGTCCCATTTCTCTATGATTTTGTTGGACCTTCAGTTTGGCCATGTCGTGTGGGTTCACTTACAATGCTTAATTAATGAATGTGAAGAAAAAAGATAATGAATTTAATGGAATCTCAGTCATTGTTACTCTCTGATTGCAAATGTTTCTGCATTCTGCAAATTAACATGTCCATGTTTCTTTATGCTGCAAATTGACTGCATCAATAATCTCATCTCACTTTAACAAATAGTTTGTACAGCTTTAAAGATCTTTATAGAGTTATTGTTACTTGTTGAATTCCTTTGCCTGAGTGTTAATCTCTGCTCTATATCCCAAACTTGAAATGTATTACCATTGACCATGGACAGTATTTTACATTTTCATTAAAAAAAAAACATTTGCTGTCAATACAGCTCTTTGTTGTCTTTACCCATTTTAATTTTCATATCAAACTTTATCTGTTTGATAGAATAGTCAAACTATGGATTGTATGATGTAAGGAGAGATAAGTAGATACATGGAAATAAGTTGTATTTACAAAACAGAAAGTTGAACACCTGAATGGCAATCAGTAGACAGTGCACCCCCTCCTCCCCTAATCTGTCACTGTAACAGAGGTGGGCAGGATAACCTCCTCAACACCTTCTACAGATATATGGTTATATTAGTGCTACCAGTTACAGACATAAGGTTATATTAGTGCTAACAGTTACAGACATATGGTTGTATTAGTGCTACCAGTTACAGACATATGGTTATATTAGTGCTACGGTACCAGTTACAGACATGGTTATATTAGTGCTACGGTACCAGTTACAGACATATGGTTATATTAGTGCTACCAGTTACAGAATATGGTAATATTAGTGCTAACAGTTACAGACATATGGTTATATTAGTGCTACCAATTACAGACATATGGTTATATTAGTGCTACCAGTTACTGACATATGGTTATATTAGTGCTAACAGTTACAGACATATGGTTATATTAGTGCTACCAGTTACAGGCATATGGTTATATTAGTGCAACCAGTTACTGACATATGGTTGTATTAAAATAGTGCTACCAGTTACAGACATAGTTATATTAGTGCTACCAGTTACAGACATATGGTTATATTAGTGCTACCAGTTACAGACATATGGTTATATTAGTGCTACCAGTTACAGACATAGTTATATTAGTGCTACCAGTTACAGACGTATGGTTATATTAGTGCTACCAGTTACAGACATATGGTTGTATTAAAATAGTGCTACCAGTCACAGACGTAGTTGTATTAGTGCTACCAGTTAGTTATCTACAAATATGAACAGAACCAACTGCACAAAAATATTTATTTTTTTTTGTTTGTTTAAACATGGCTGTATGGTGTATATAATATTTGTGTGTGTACAATTGCAACAGCTTACCATTAGCCGGCCTGGGAATGATATTAACACGCTTTAAAGTGAAGGTTATCTTTCCTTTGGACTAGTTTGACGAAGTTAGCGTTCTTATCGACTAAGGTTAAAAAAAAGACTGGCATCAAAATTATAGTGGCAAAACCAGAAATGACATTTTATTTGTTATGCAAATTCCGATAATTCAATAATTATTAATGTAATATACTATTATATTATAGTTTATAGTATAAGAGCTCCTGCCATCATGTGCACTGCCCCTCTGCCATCCTGGAGGTTCCGTTTCTTAGCGCATGATGGGCGTACAAAAACCTACTGGACCATGTCTACTGTCAACGTTGCTTTCGTCAGCCACCAGGCAGTAGTAAGTGTAGTCACATGGACATATATCCGTCTGGTTCCAGATCCCCGTCGGTCTGATCTGACCGTTGGCCGTGACATTTTTGTAACACCTGTCCTCCGCAAACCCGGTGTTACTGCAGAGTCCGTGCAGACAACACCCGCTGAGCCCACAGTCTGTCGCCATCGTGCAACTCGCCCCGTGGGGGAAGGGAGGGGGTAGTGGATAAGTAGAGCACTCCTCGTCTTCTTGTCCATACAGTGACATCTGGCGGAAAAAAAAAGGTTTATATTTTAAAAGCCCAAACAAAACGTATACAATTCTCTAAAGGGGCCGTCCATAAAGAACACGCTATTTTTGACCATTTACCCCCCCCCCTGTCACAAATTGTCACAAATCTCGGACACCCCCCCCCCCTAAAGTACGTCACACTTTCGAACACATTTAAAAAAAAAAATTAACTAACACCTAGTTAAAATTTATTCTAAATCACACTTCACTATTAAACTCTTAAGATTAATAAGACACGAACAAATTGTGTCAATAGAACAATATGAGTTAGCTTTAATAATAATTATACATTATACAAAATTAAACGTTTCGGCACATGCCTTCATCAGTACAAAAAAAACAAAACACATTTAAATAAGTATAAATTAAATTTACATAATATCAATATACATATCCTACCTAAAACAGAAAAAAATATAATAATATGATAGTTCTTTTAATTGTACATTTTATATTTTAATATTGTTTAATAGTGAAGTGTGTTTTAGATTAAATTTTAATTAGGTGTTAATTAAAAAAAAATGTGTCCGAAAGTGTGACGTACTTTAG